AAATTGAAGGCATTTTTTAAATCTAGCTTGATAAGGGCCTTTTCGTTTGTGATGTTGGCGATGAAGGCTCGAGCTGCATGGGCTGCCGCCTCACACCCTAGTGGAATGCCGAACCCGAGCTGTTTTGGCTTCAGCATGTTGACCGCTGCATCACTAACTGTTCTTGCAGCTGCTTTTGCGACGAGACGCCGGAGAGAATTGCCCACAGCTATTGGCCTGATCCCTCCATCCTTTTTCTTTAGAGCACAGAGAGACGCTCCAAAAAAGATAGGTCTTATGGTCGCTGGTATGTTGCCAGCTAAACATGTGTTGGTGAATCTGGTTAGTTCCACCAAGAGGTTCTTTGCAATGTCACCCAGTGCAGGGTTGAGCATTTGCTTAAGGTGGTTGGGTTTTAGTCCTGTGAACCTGCTGGGAAGGACAAGGCTGCTTTATAGACCACAGATTCAGCCACCCAGAGAAGTTCTTCTCCGGTAGCCCCCACTTGTACAATGTCGTCCTCACGCGGAGCCCTGGGTGGGTGTTTCTCCCTTAGGGCTTGAGCTGTTGCGGCATCTCTGTCAGCAATTGAGTCCTCACTGGTGATGAATCTTATTGCGCCAATAGTGTTTCCTTCTATTTTCTTGGTGACTGATGTTCTGATTTTTGATGTCTCGGATATGCCACTGTTGCTCTTCCTGCCGTGGGTGTTTCTCGCGCGAGTAGGAAGGCGCACCTGGTTGTCCTCCCTGGGAAAATCATTTATAGCTTTGATGACTGAGGCAGCTAAGGTTTTGTCTATCCTTGCAGGGGTGGCTAGACATATGTTGCCAAACATTAGGTGGTTGTGCCATGCTTGGGTCGTTCCAGGAGAGTCGTTGACCTTTCTCAGGAGGGCGGATAATTTGGCTGCTGCATGGGGGCGGGCTGCTTTAGGGATGTGTTGCAAGGTTCTGGCTGATGTTGCTTTGATAGCTTCTAATAAATTTTCTGTGGGAATGAAGGTCTGGGAGGTGTTTTGCCTTACGGGCGGTGTGGGCTGTTGATTGGTGTTCTCCCCGGGAGGGCGCCCAGAACCCAAACACCTGGCTCCGTTGTGGTAATGAATGCGCACATTATCGTCCCTCGACCAGATATAGCATACCTTGTCACACGTCTGACATCTGCCTTGTCTACCCCTGCTTGATGGATCATCTTGGCTTGGAGAAGCCTGGCTGTATGTTGAGAGCTGCGACATGGGCGGGCGCTGGGCGGGCGCTGGGCGGGAGGGTGGACGGCGGGTGGAGACTGGAGGGTGGACGGCGGATGGAGGCTGGGGGGATAGTCAGCTGGCCGTGGCACTTACTACTCAGATGAGTGGTAATACATATACCACCTCTATACAATGTGTGGGTATACACCCACTACACAATATGTGGGTATACATTGGGTAAGTGGGTGGCGTAGACACACATGGGAGCCTCCCGGGTTCAATGGGCGGGTGGCAAGGTGGCCTCGTGGGTGGGGAGTCGACGTGGTGGGGTTGGGAAGGAGGGGGAGAACTGGTACTTCCCAGCCTGGGCGCTGGGTGGGGGCGGGGGTCAGGGCGACAAAAACACTAGTATAATTCCCCGTATATCACTGCACAATGATGAATGATCACACACTTGTAATCTGACTCACTGCTCGTGTGTTATACTCACAATATGATAGATATGTTGCGCCAATTATCGCTGACAACGTAACTTGTTCAACAAAACTTTAAAAAAAGAAAAATACAAAAGACTATTTGGCACACACGTAACCCCCACCTCTCTCTCCTGACTACACAGCACCCCTCACTCACCCCCCACCTCCCCTCACTATGGGAGGCCTGCTGGGTCCATCCTGGCCCCTCACTCCACCCTCCATGACTCCACACTGCCAACCAACCTGTTTTGATAAGCTTTCACATAGATGGTACACCGAAGGCACTTCCGGCCACTTCCACGTCTGCTTGACGTATTCACGGTGAATATGGTTGAGTCTTGGTAAGGTGAGGCCAAGATGTCTCAGGGTAATGGCTGAGAAGGCAGCAGCTCCTCCACTACACGTCCGTCCCCTAGGCCTCTCTCTCTCTCTCTCTATATATATATATATATATATATATATATATATATATATATATATATATATATATATATATATATATATATATATATATATACAGGTTGGTAGCAGTCTTTCCTGTAGACATATATTATTAAATATGACCGAAAAGTAAGATTAATAATTCTAACACGAATTTTCTCAATATTTCTTATATTTCTTTTCACTGTTGATGGTAATTGAAAGATCAATTCTCCAAAATTCATCTTTATCTCTAGTCGGACGCGACACTTGAACGCGTTTCGTAATAACTTATTACATATTCAAAGACTTTAGTTTACACACACAAAACTATAACTTGCAAACACTAAACAGAGTTCAAACAGCTTTGATTTTATACCTGCATTTGGGTGAGGTGATATGTTACAACAGTTTTGGATGAGGTGAAAACAAATTTTCAACACAAGACAGAACACGAAACAATGGGTATAATATTTTGTAAGTTAAAGGGAAGAATGGAAGTAACTGCAAAGGGCCTATTGGCCCATATTTCTTGATGCTTCTATAATGGTGCGGAGTCTTCAAGTGGGTAGAATATAGTTGTGCATTAATTGGCTGTTGATTGCTGGTGTCGACTTCTTAATGTGTAGTGCCTCGCAGATATCAAGCCGCCTGCTATCGCTGTATCTATCGATGATTTCCGTGTTTTTTGTTAAGACTTCTCTGGTGATGGTCTGGTTGTGGGAAGAGATTATATGTTCCTTAATGGAGCCCTGTTGCTTATGCATCGTTAATCGCCTGGAAAGAGATGTTGTTGTCTTGCCTATATACTGAACTCTTTGAGGCTTACAGTCCCCAAGTTGGCATTTGAAGGCATAGACGACATTGGTCTCTTTTAAAGCGTTCTGCTTTGTGTCTGGAGAGTTTCTCATGAGTAGGTTGGCCGTTTTCTTGGTTTTATAGTAAATCGTCAATCGTATCTTCTGATTTTTGTCTGTAGGGATAACGTTTCTATTAACAATATCTTTCAGGACCCTTTCCTCCGTTTTATGAGCTGTGGAAAAGAAGTTCCTGTAAAATAGTCTAATAGGGGGTTCAGGTGTTGTGTTAGTTGTCTCTTCAGAGGTTGCATGGTGTTTCACCTTCCTTCTTATGATGCCTTCAACGAAACCATTGGAGAAGCCTTTGTTGACTAGGACTTGCCTTACCCTGCAGAGTTCTTCATCGACTTGCTTCCATCCTGAGCTGTGGCTGAGAACACAGTCGACATGAGCATTAACGACACTCCTCATGTACCTGTCTGGGCAGTCACTGTTGGCATTGAGGCACATTCCTATGTTTGTTTCCTTAGTGTAGACTGTAGTGTGGAAACCTCCGCTCCTTTCCATGACTGTTACATCTAGAAAGGGCAGCTTCCCATCCTTCTCCAACTCGTAAGTGAAACGCAACACAGAATTCGGCTCAGAATTTAGATTCGATTCTTCCCATGGTGGAGGCTGCCGAAAGTGTTGATATGGTCTATCTTCCCCTTTGTTTTTAATTGTCTATTTCAGGTCCACTTTCTCTAGAATCTTGACTAGATTATCAATCCATGTGCTTGTTCTATATTGAAGGTTTTTCTGAAAGGATATCTGTATGCTGTTGTTACGGACCCGGATCCAGCGTCCGAGCCTGGAGCAGTGACGAACACGCCATCTGTGGCTCAGCTCCCGAAACCCCCTCCAAATTGACGACGACACCTGGTGAGGACGAGGTGTACTGGTAACGAGGGCCAGTTTCCAGTCCTGTTCAGCTCACAACACAGCCGCTGCTGACCTCTGGTGAGGTGGTGCTCAGACGACAACGCCATCTATGGAGTGGATAGGTGGGCGTTTGGGTCTGAGCCTGTAAGTGAGGTGCTTTAGTGAGTCCCTGTTATTGATGACGTGTCTGCTTACAGAGTCGACCTGGGACTGCTGTAAGGGAAGTTGAGTCAGTCTACCCAAGGCAGCCGTCTCGACACCAAGTGTTTTGCTGCAGCAGCTGTGAGTCGCCTCCCGGATGAACACTGTGGTGTTACCCTGCCTGTGAAGCGGCAGTTGAAGGATTGTCATACCCGGGACTGGCTGGTGGAGACGCTTAACCACTGGGGTATTGCGGAAAGGAGAGTGATCTGTGGTATCACACGAGGCTCCTGACTAGGGCGCTACCCTAGTATCGCTCGTGGAGTGGCCTAATCAGCGTTGCTGATTCGGAACCTGCCAGCCATCTGCTGGACTTGTGGTTGACGGCCTCCACGGCGGTGCCCCCAGTGGAACTGTGTTTTGGCTGACCTGTGGCTGGGGTAGACTCAGCTTCTCGAAGGATTCGTCGTGAGGCCACGCGAGCACCGAGAGCTTGGCACCGAGAGGATCCAGGGTCTTCAGAAGAAGACGACAGTGTATTATAGTGTTTATACCCCCCCCCCCCCCGGGTAATCGTTTATATATATTTATTGGTGACGGTGATCATTATATTATATTAAGTTTTTGACTTTATTTCCCTTCCCCTTTTAATTTACTTGCGTTACGGATCACATCCCTTGAAAGCCACTACTGGCTTGGGGCCGGATACCCTTCCTCTAACAACATCAGAGTAAGAACCCAGTTGCGACCCAAGAGGGCCGTAACAGCTGTCTTTGACTGACAGTCTGGCGGTGGTTCCAATACGTTTTGTTGTTATGGTGGCTATCCTTTGTTTCATCCTGTTTTCTAATGTTGGTAAATTGGTTTCCATTCTAAGGTTCTCTCTACGTGTCCATATAGGAGTCTGGTGTCTAAGTGTCTGGCATCCAACTTTGGACAGACATTCTCTTTTAAAATATAGAATCTTCATAAGCTTTCTTGAGACTTGGTAATAAACAGCACAGAGGAAATGTAAGTCAAGAAGGTGAATTGAGCAATATAATAACACGAGTGAACCACTGTGTCTCTTACCTCGTGTCCACGGTCGGCCAGAGCCTCAGCGAGAGGAAAGAAGACGTTCCCGTGGCTCTTGGTAGCAACGGGGAGGAGCATGAGGATCTTGTAGGACCTTTCAGGGGGACCCAACAATCCGGAAGAACCTCTCGTCAGAACCACCAAAATCAAGCACAACTTCGTCAACTTCATCTGTCAAAATAGTTATAGTGATTAAACACTTTAAACCTCACAGTGTTGACCACATAGGTCTAAACCTGTGGGAGAGATCTTATCCAAAGTCACAGAAAATGCATCATGTCCGAAACACTTTGCATTGTAGTGGTTTTAATAAATATGCACCATTGTATAGCAAACAGGAAATCACCCAGTCAAGTTCTCCTTCCATATATTTTTTAAATCAAAATTATTATTGGGGTACAACCTATAGAGGATCTACAGCCTCGGTGAAGGAAATAGGGAGAAACTTTCGACAATTGTCTCTGATTTCGTGAGTTTCTGCTTCTCATTCTATTGAGTATTTTTAATTTAATACCTTATTGTTCATTATATCATGTTATTCCTTGCATGAACTCTTCTCACTATGATTATTACAAAAAAGTTACAATGGTGGTTTTTTGGCAATAAGCAGTAATCTCATTGCTTAAAAGTGCAATGAAATCATAATTTCTTGATATATCTATAAGAGAACTGATGCAGAATGGGGATCGTTCCAGCGTTCTGGGTAACCCTAGACGCAAACCTTAACCAATGAATCATGATATGCTAAATATTATACAACCTTTGATCTGCCCGAATCCTCTCTGAGTCTGGAGGCACCGAACTGGTAGCCAATCCAAGTTTTACACATAACCCCCATGCACTCTGGTGAAGGTAATGGAATTCCCCACCAAATGCTCCCTTCGCATGTGTAGATATATGAGAATAAACAAGGACCAGGATGCTGGTTCGATCCCTGTCCTGCTCCAATGATTTCCTCATTGATCTATTACGCTCTTGTTATTTCATTGTGTATTTGAAGGGAGCGTTTGATAGAGAACTCCATTATCTTCACCACAGTGTATGTGGGTTATGTGTAAAACTTGGAAGGGGTACCCGGTCGGTGTCTCGAGACTCCTAGAGGCTCTGAGCAGATCCCAGGTTGTAGATGGGTTAAGGTGCGTGTCTGGGAATTTCCAAGACGCTGGTGTGTTACTGTGGCGAATTAAGTGCCTCCTGGATGTAGCAACCGTAGGAATCATGGTCCCATTATGCCAAAGTGTGGGGTGTTTCTATCATTAAAAAAAATCGGGATACTCGAGTATTTCCCAAATTGCTATGAAGAGATTACTATATATCTTGCACCTGAAGGCTAATATTCGTGTAAACTCCTGCCAAGAAGTGAGAAAATTCAGTCAGCTGTCTATTTTCTGGTGCACACACACTGTTGCCGGTTATGACCGTCCCTCAACTGCTACCTCTTGCCATCAGTGTCTCCCACCAATATCTCCTCTTCCTCTCAAAATTATATTGTCAGATTAATATTAGAATCTCGCTCTGGGTAGCTAGATCATCAGAACCTTAATCAGACAAACCTCTTCCCCAAGTTCACCATGGAAGAAGTAATGATGGCTTACGTATGTTTAACAGCATTTACTAAGATAAATAATCATATGGTATATTTCAAAATCTCAAAACTGAATCTCACAATATATATGTATGACTGAAATATGAGCTCTACTTGATATGAATTTTGCATAACGTATTCCATATTGATTCTTGGTAGCTTTATCTATAATGTTTGAATACAAATTTCTCTCAATTAATCCTTTTTGTCGGAAATATCACCCAACAGCCCGTCTCTGCCAACACATCACTTCATTCCACAAATATATAAAATTATAGTAGAGATAATATGTCATCAGGGTTATATAAAGTTTTTTGTTATACTTACCTATATTATTGTTACACTTATCTTTATTGTTGTTACATTTACATATATATTGTTGCTACACTTACCTATATTGTTGTTACATTTATGTGTAATTTTGTTGCATTTACATATATTGTTGTTATATTTATTTATATAGTCACTTACCTACATTCTGGTTACACTTATGTATATTATACACATTTACCTAAACTAATGATATGCTTAAATATATGCCAGTCACAATTACTCATATTCCTGATACTTCCTCTAAACATTTTACACCTATCTATTAACATCTCACACACTTACCTGTAAACCTGGTAAACCTGCCAATATCCTTGTCATTTGCATATGTTTTTGTTATAATTACTTATACTAACGTAACACTTGCGCTCCCTTTACGATTTTCCATTACACGATTTCACTTACCTACAGACCACTTTAGAAAAAAATATGACAAACGTTAGTCATCTCAAAGAAATATAAACATATAAACATATATGCAACTGAAAACTCACACCCCCAGAAGTGACTCGAACCCATACTGCCAGAAGCACTCTGCAGCTGATATACATGATATGCTTGTTCGCATATACACATATATGTTAATTCAGAGGTATAAATGAAATACAGACTGATGAAACAAATTGTATGATGAATAACGTGTATAAATGAACAATAACTAAATTCCTCTAACTCTTAAGTGTAAATAAAACAGAATTGAGGACAAACTGTTATGATAATGAGGACGGGGCAAGCGAGCAACGTGCTTCCCTCTGGCTCCCACACACGACTGACCAGTAAGGCTGGCTGCTGTAAGCAACAGGTGCCGCCTAGTGTTAAAGTGAAATATTATGTTGTGCTGAGCTGTGATGATATAAAAAATCTGCTGATTCTCATCATATCTTATTTTTGGTTTATTTAAGCTTGGTTATTTAGCTCCAGTTTTAATACTACTTTTGTTACCTTACTTCATTTGAGGAAAAATATAAACATTTCAATCAATGGTATATTCTCCTATGTCGTTTCATGAGAATGAACCTTTGGTAATAGCCATCCTGTGCAATTTGTCCTCAGGACATATTCATTCCCTCCACTGGTCGACCTCAAAGACGCATTCATAAATTTTAATATACTACTCATTCAAAACAGGAATTTTCTCAAATACAACTTAATATTATAATATTTTAGCCTATTGTGCATATATATTGGCAATTGTTAGGTTACTTTATGATGGGTGTTTAGGTTCCGGTGGTGATTAGTTTTATTTGTAGTACGTGGGTGAAGCATTAACAGCGTTCTGGTTCGAACAAAAGTTGTCAGCAAAGTTGAACAAGTTGAAAAAGTTGAACATTGGCCTTTGTTTATGAAGACAGGCTGTTCTCTGTGTTATTTTTCAATCGGTAGAGACGAAGCCTTTAGCCTTTGCTACTAGTTATTTATAGGTTTAGCTATTATTCCACCATTTTACTCACATATCAAAATTCATTAGTTTTATACACAAGATGAAGAATAATGAGAATATATTCATATTCATACTGGTGAAATGGTTGTAATTTGATAAGCAGTCATGTTCCTGGGAACCTTGGCACATATTTGTTAATTTATTTCACTCTCCAATTGTTCATCTATGATGGTTGGTGTCTATATTCCCTGAGCATTATTACTTCTTCACCAAGGATTGAGAAAAGTATTTAATCCTGAGTGAAACTATAGCAAAACTATATAACTATAGCATATGCCAAGCACTGAGTGAAACTATAGTTTCACTATATGAGTGAAACTATTTAATCCTGAGTGAAACTCTGGCCCACTTCCACCAAGTGGGCCAGAGAGCTCACAATCACGAAGGCGCCGGGAAAGGTAACCATGCAGACTTTTACACATGCCTGAAGTCTAAGCTAGTAACAATGGTAAAAAATACAGTGGTATACCACTCTTATTTGTAAACAATTTTAACTATCTATCCAGCTGGACGACAGGCTTTTATAATTTTAATTACCAATATTCTGGCTATCTTTATTCTTATATACTAACACATCAATAGAAATATAATCATGATTTTGCTAGCTACACTAAGTTTCTATAGGATGTGTGGAAGGTGCCCTAAATTCCCTTCTTCTTCCTGTCGTTAACGCCGAAAACTTTATCAGTGACGACCATGAAGATCCGACGTAGGATGAAGAGGAGAAGGAAGAGAGCCAGAAGGAGGAGGAGGATCAGAACGTCGAGCATGAGGAACTTCACCCAGGAGAGATGTGCCGGCAAGAACCTCGGTTGGGGTGCCCCACGGTAGTCCAGAACACAGCCCGGTCCCTGGGCGACGTCAGCTGGTCCCTCATCACCACTGACATCCTGTGTTGTTGTTGTTTCAGATTTAGCTACTCAGAACGAAGTGTCCATGTAGCACGAGCTAGGGTGAGCACGTAATTGAGTTCGGTTATTCGCGATAACCTTGTTTCTGTGATATTTGGGTCTAAGTTTAAAATGGAGGAGGGGATTCCTCTTTTTTTCCCTGTTTATTTATCGCTTGTGTTTTAGTTTTGTTTTATTAACATTATCTTGGTGGCAGATGTAGATGCAGAATGCTCACTAGTGAGTCCCATTCCTCAACGGCTTTTCTAATCATTGTAGTCGCAGTGGAATGTGCATCTAATGCAGCTGCTGTCGTTGGATTAATGTTGAGTTTGATGCGCAGGCCTTCAGTAGCTTCACATTCCAGTAAGTAGTGCAATAGTGGCGCCTCTGCTTCTGTTTCACAGATGTGACACTCTTTAACTATTGGGTTCATTACCTCCCAGCAGCACTTGTAACCAAGCCTGAGTCTGTGTATGGCTACTGCAATGTCTCTGGATATCTTTTTGTCAGGCTTGAAAGAGGAGTAACCAGTAGCTTGTTCGTACCATATCGCGGTGGATCTTCCTTCCACTACTTTGGCTCTGTGCCGACTTTTGATAGTTGAGAATATTTTCTTCTTGATTTGCTCCTTAATCTGTGAGAAACTTGGAGGTATTTGAACCTGTACAACAGGTAGAGCATTGGCAGTTTTTGCTAGTGAGTCTGCCTTTTCATTAGCATCTATGCCAATGTGACTTGGTATCCAATTCAGGCACACTGACATCCGTATCACGTTTTCTTTATACCTAACTACCAGGAAGATTAGGAGAAAGATGCACGCTAACTTTCACAAATTATTTATTTTAGTTTTCACGAAAAAAACAAGAGGAAGAAGGCATACGATTGATTTTTTAAGTGTTTAGATATAAATTAAAAAACATTA